CATGCCATGCCACAACATGCCATGCCACAACATGCCATGTCATGACATGCCAGGCCATGTGATGCCACACCACACAATGTCACGCCATGCTACGGCCCACCACACCGTGCCTCAGTGGTGGGTGGTGGCGGTGGCTGGGGCAGAGGTGGCAGCCCCAGGTGGCTGCCGGGGGCTGTGGGCGATCCCCACCCGTGGGACACCCACCCCAGCCACCCACCCCGGCTGCCGGGTGGGCGTGGGGACGAAGTGGCGGAGGGTCCTGCATGGGGCAGGCCAAGCTCAGGGTGGTCCCTGAGCTGTGGGGCGGCCCCTGGGCTGTGGGGTTGCCCCCCACCCCCTGGGCTTTGTGCCCAGGCCTGGAGAGCCCCCAAAAGCGGCCGCAACAGCGGGATTTTCCCGTCCATAAACCACCCCCGCATCGTTTAACCCCTGTGGGAGCAACAAGCTGAGCGACACCATGCTGGGAAACGTTTTATTTCCACCTCCATCACCAACAAATACCCCCATTCCCGATAATAAAATCACAGTATTTCCAATAAAATCTATGTAAGTTAAAAACAAGGGGTGGACACAATAAATAAGTATAAAAGCACTGGACAGACACAATAAATAAGTACAAATTGGGGCGACTCGGGCCCATGGGGCCCAGAGCTGCTATTTCACCTGAAATAGATGGGGAGGATGGGGGTCCTGCTGGGGGGTTTGTACTCGGTACATACAGCCTGAAAACCGGCGACTGCCGGTTGGGTTGGGTTGCGTGCGGGGGCTCCTCAGCGCCCGCTCAGCTCATAGGTGGCGATGTTGACCTGGTCGGGCTGGTTGGTGATGCCGACGGGCTGGCGGGGCTGCAGGGAGGTGCAGATGAACCAGCCGGGGAAGGCGGCCGACTCGAAGCGGGTGGTCCTCTCGGTCGGGCTGTCCAGGCGGTAGAAGATGAAGCGAGTCAGCTCCATGCTCTCGATGTCCCTCCTGACGTCAGCTTCCTACAACCGGGGGGGTGAAATGGGGCTCAGGGTGGGATGGAGACTCCAGCCCTATGGGGGATGGAGCCGGTGGGACCCCTCTGCTCACCTCCAGCTGCAGCACGGGCTCAGCGCCGCTCATCACGCATGACATGTAGAGTTGGTAGCCCTTGATGCCCAACGCCACTGGCACCCGCCCGGTCCCTGGGCCGCCTTGCGATGACCGGGGACGGTACAGAGCGATGTTGAGCTTCACTGCAGAGAGGAGGGACGGGTTAATGGGTGGTGCCGGGGCAGTGGGGTGGCTCCCAGGTGGTCCCGGGGTTGGGGATGGGGATATTGGGTCCAGACCGTGTCCCCTCACCTTTCTGCCTGGCGGCGGGTCCCTGCAGGTGCAGGGCCACCAGCTGGGTTGGCGGCTCCAGCACGAAGCACTTGTGGTCAATGTCGAGGATGTCAAAGGACTGGGAGCGGGTGTAGCGGTAGACGGGCGCCCCGGCGTAGCTGCCCTTGATCTGCTGGAAGGAGACGGGCTCTGCGGGGAGGGAGACGGTCAGGGGGATGCTGATGCTCCCGGGTCCAAGAGCATCCCCCAAGAGCATCCCCTGGCTGGGGTGACACTCCTGACACCACCTCCCCATACCAAAAATATCATCCAGGAAGCCCCCAAGGTCACTGTCAGTGAAGTCCTTGTGCATCGTCTGCTTCAGGAGCTTGGTCACGGCCACCACGAGGGTGGCAGCCCGGCGAAAGGTCCTGGTAGGCTGTCCGTGGGTCACCGTCACCTGGATGCCCACCCCGGGTGATGTCACCTCCGAGTCCAGGCAGGGTTTCTGGGGGGAAAAAGGGACGTGGGGTGAGAGCCTGGCTTCCTCATCACGGGGGTCTCGCCGTTCCCACCACCCAGTGTTACCTTCTGCAGGTAGAGGCAGTCGGGGTCATAAAATGTCTCCTCATTCAGGCTGAAAGGCAAAGGGAGATGGTGAAGCCAGGGCCACCATGGCACCAGCGCGGCATCTTGTCCCCAGCGTCCCCTCCAGCACAGCCACACTTACCTGCTGCTCTCCAGTGTGTCCAAATCAGGGACAAACGCCATCTCCACCGCTGACTGCAAAAACCTGGGCAGAGACCTGCTGGTATCTGTCGAGTGTCGCGGCACTTGGCTGCCTGCTCCTGCCTGTCCTGCCTGCAGTGTCACTTGGGCGCTCTCTGAGCCTGGAGTCGGCGCGGCGGGTTTTCAAGAGCTGCTGGAAGGAAGCGCTGTCAGAGCGGGATTTCCACCTTTCGCAATGCCCGGGTTTGCCCAGTTCCCCTGGTGAGACCGGGAGGGCTGGGGGGCTGGCTGTCCCCGAGCGGCGCTGTGGGGCTGAGCGAGGGGCCATGCGTGGGGCAGAGCAGGGGGATGCTTTGGGGTTGGTGTGCGAGGCAGAGAGCAGGGGCGATGCTCCGGGGCCGGTGTGTGGGGCAGAGAGCAGGGGTGATGTTTGGGGTCAATGTGTGGGGCCGGTGCTCGTGTGCCAGCTCTCGGTGGCCAGGCTGACCCAGCAGGGACTGCCCCAGCCCCAACCCCGTCCCACTGGGGCCGTGATGACGCCCACCCTCGTCAGGGCTGGGGACCGCGGCTGCCCTGGAAGGGGCTGGTGGCGCAAGCGCTGCCACTCCACCATTTCCCCACGGCTTCCTCCTGTGCTGCCCGGGCCCACGGCACCACGGATGCCAGAGCCCCCTCCATCACCCCTCCACTCCCCACCGCCCCAATATCAGAGGGCGCAGGACCCCGCTGTCTCCTCGGTCCCTTGTGCCCACCCATGCTGCCCTGGGGACGTGGCCTTTGGGGACGCTCCTTGTCACCACCCTGCAGCAGGCCCCCGCAGCCGGCAGCACACCCCGCTCCACAGGATGCCCTGCGTCCATCCGGGGTGCCGGTGGTTGCGCCACGCCGGCCGGGCCAGGGACGTGCATGGCCAGGCTTGCGTGGCCACGGGCTGTTGGGGTGTTTTCCTGGCACCTGTTTCACTTCCCGAAAGCGCCGGCCGGCCCTGTGCAGCTCCTCGGCTTGGGGCTGCCGCAGCCATGACTCACCCGGCAGGAAATCGCCAGCAACCCCAAAACTCCCTGGGGCACCTCCTGCCTGCCCAGCCCTGCCTGCACCCCTGGCCGGCTCTGCCTGTCCCCCACGCAGGGGCGAGGCCCGCTGGCTGTCACCCACACTGGGATGCCCCCGAAGACCTGAGGTCCCCCAGGCCATGGGATCCCCCATGCCAGGGGGTCCTTGCAAACCGTGGTGGAGGTTCGCAGGCCGTGACAGAGGTCCCCAGGCCACGGTGGGGGTCCCCAGGCCGTGGCGGGGTCCCCAGGCCGTGGCGGAGTTCCCCAGGCCATACTAGGTGTCCCCAGGCTGTGGTGAGGCTCCCCAGGCCATGGCGGAGGTCCCCCGGCTGTGGCGGAGGTCCCCCGGCCATACCAGGTGTCCCCAGGCCGTGGTGAGGGTCCCCAGGCCATGGTGGAGGGCC